TATTGCAGGCGTTTTAAAAGTGCCTGCAGATTAGGCAAGGTTCAGGCACTCCAGTCAAGTGCCTGCAAAATAGGTTATTGCAAGCGCTTAATAAAATGCCTGCAAAACAGGTTGTTGTAGGCACTTCCTAGTCATTGCAGATGCTTTAAAGCACCTACAAATTACGTCATTGCAGGCGTTTTAAAAGTGCCTGCAGATTAGGCAAGGTTCAGGCACTCTAGTCTACGCCCACTGGAATCTTTCCCAACATGGGATTTGCAGGCCTCAAAGAGGCGCTTTCTTGAGCGCTGGTTAGGGTTATGCAGGCGCACAAAAGCGCCTGCAATGAACTCACTTACGCGCCAGCGAAACCAGTAACCTTTGTAGTCGAAGTGAGGATGACCACAATTTTTTTTTTTTTTCATTGCAAATCTCTATGAGTTTTTTCATTTGACTTGGTGTAACAAGGCAATAGGCTCCATAAGCTAGAGAGAGGACATAGGAGCGGCAGCAGCCCTATCGGCTATGCTTCCCTTCTCCTACTTTCCTACTTTTAAAAAACAGGGGGCTGGTCTCATGGCAGCAGAGCTAGCAACGGTGGCGGAGTTAGGGCTGGCTCCGTAAACTATTGAAACAATTTTTAAGTTTAATAATAAAATAAAAAATTTTAAACTGTATATGTTAATTATTTGATTAAAAAAAGGTAAATTTAAAGCTAACAATCAATTATACCGTTATTTATCCCATGGATTCACCTCTTTTCTTTTACTAATTCAAAATATAATTGTATTATTTTAACATCTTTTATAACAATAAATGTTTTAATTTTTAAAGACATTCTCATACAGTTATTGATTATTGTAATTATTAATTATTTTAGTTTTATATTTTAAATTATTAATTATTTGACTTTTAATTTTTTAAATATAATTGCTAACTGATTATATTGTTGGATTTTTAATTTATTTGAGATAGAAGTTTTAGTCTTTTAATTAGTTTTTGTCAATAATAAGGAAGAATTATTATTAATTTCAAGTTGTTGTGAGTTTATATTTAATAATTATTTTGCATTATGTTATACTTATTTCATAATTATTTATTAATTTCTTCAACAAATATTTTAGCCTTAGGTTTAAATTTTATATTAATTATTCTTATGTTAGTCCCCTACAAAGCAAATCTAGATTCATATGGTTTATTTGTTGGTTTATTTGTTTTGTTTTATTTCAATTTACAATTTAATTTATTTACGCAAATTATTCTATTTTTAAAAAGGTTTTAATCTTAATGATTTGTTTTAATCGATTTATAAAGCATTTATTCAATTTATGATTATTTTATTTTTTTAGTTTTTGAATTTTAAGATTTGGGTATGTTTAATCTAAGTTCATGTTTTATTATTGTTGTATTCTTATTTTTTATTATTTTAAAGTATTTTTTAGTTGTAATTTGTAGATTGTCTAAATAATATGAAATTATGGATGTCAAACAACCCATTTAGTTTGAAAGAAAATATTTCGTAATTTATAATTGTGCCTCCTCTAACACTCAATTTTGGCTGCGTTGGCAACTATGCTTTCCCTCCGCTACTTGTAGGGTACTGGGTTGGTAACTAATTAGTTTATAATACACACACACACACACGTGATATTAGTACTATTTATCGATAGTATTTATAAAAAATTTAGGTAAAAAATATTTTAAATTATTTCATTTTTACGCACTATAATTTTTTTTAATGAGAATTAATTAAAATAAAATATTTTTAGGGTACTTTTTACCTTTTTTTATTTATAATTATAGTTAATAAATATTTTTCTCCTATACATATACTTATATACACACACATGATTAGTATTGGTTAACTAGATTTAAAAAAATTAAGAATAAAAACTCCCCAAAACTATGTTTTTTCATTAATTATCACGAAGAAAAAACTAAAATAAATACATTCTTAATTGAAAAATAAGTTACTACATTCTTTTTCAATTAAAATGTATTAAAATAATATAATTTTTAAGTATTTCTCCTCTTAATTTTATTTTTAAAATTCAATTAACAAACATCTTTCTTTTATATATCTATATACACACACACATACATATTGGACTCTAAAATCACATTACACATGGTCTGTTTGTATTATTCTCTTTTAGTAATTACAAATATAATAATACCAATTTATAATTGAAATAATTTTTACTTAATGAATAAAAAATTTTAAATAGATATTAATTTATTATAAATAAATATTTAATTACATCAATTAAAAATTTTTTCAAATAAACATGATAAAACAGTTCATCAAATTTTTATTAATTTTTTTCTTTGTATTTATAACTATCATTATGCCATTTTTTTTTACCCTAATTTGTCTTCTCTTTTTTGATTGCCTATATTAGAAGGTCTTAAATCAAAATATAAAAAATATAACTTATTGTCATTATTTTCTTGGTACTTTCTCATTTACCTGTAACCACCTTTCATTAATTTTTTCTTACATTGCCATCTCCTAACTTACGTTCATTTATTTTATCATTATATTAACTTTCTACCTATATTTGCCTCGCTTTCTCTCTTTCTTTGTTAATATTTTGTTTCAACTTAGTTATTTTTCATTTATTTATACTTCATCTTTCATTAATTTTTTAGACTTCATCTCTTAGCTATTCTTTAAGATTTTATCATTATATTTATCTATTTATCCTACTTTCACTCAATCTCTCTCTTTCTATATATAAGTAGATCTCTACTCATATATATAATTAATTTTCTTCCATTATCTTTATTTCCTTAATAATATTATTTTTTTAATCACTCCCTACATCTCTATTTATTATTATATATTATTTTTATCTCAGTCTCTCTCTTATCCCTTCTTGTGTATATATTAGATTTGTCTAAGTCTGTCTTAATGAATATATTTAAACCCTCTAAGGACTCTTATTTTACTATTTTTATAATTTTTTGATATATAATTTAAATTTTTAATAAAAAATGTCAAAATATTTTTAAGGTTCTTGTAGAGTCTCTTTCTCTATTTAAGTTCCTTATAAGTGTTTTCATTTGATATGTGTTTGAAATGAATTTTTTATTTTTAATTAAAAATTAATCTTAATAATGAATTAATATTATGATATTTAATAATTATTAAAAATGTGCAGTGTGAACAAACAACAAATAGCGTAGTTTTAGAGTTTGGTAATAATGATAATGATGACGATGATAATTTATAAGGAGGTTTAACTAATAAAAAATATTTTAAAAAAATTAATGAGATTAGTGTTTAATGGAGGGATTTTTAAAAATATTAG